GTAGTGTAACCCCTGGTCCACAACCTTGCTTTAAGTGACGTAAGTTTTAAGCCGTTGTCCGTACGCTTTAAGTCGCAACGTACACTCCTAAGGACAATAGTGCACAACGTCTACTTTAACACTTAAGATGTAAGGTTTTTCTATGAGAAAAGAAAACCGAGTATTTTGTTTTCTTAACCTCAACGTCTTTTATTCTATTGATTATTACCAAAAAAGCATAACGTCGCAAATAATGAAGTGCAATAAACGAAGACGCTCATTAATTTTTGCGTGTGTTGGAAATATATTTGTAGTTATGCTTTATTTGTATTTGAAGCGACAGAAAAAATTTAGTGGTCGGCGCTGGTGGGTGCACCCTTTAACTCTGGACCGTGGGCAACTGGGAGTGTATGTGACTGTTTTTTTGAAATACAAACATACAGATCAAGAGAAATTCTTCCGATTAAGGCGACTCACAGTAGAACAATTTGAAGAATTATTAACAATAATCCGAGATGATATTAAAAAACGAAGCTATAGAGAGTTTTTAACACCGGAATTTCGCCTTGCCCTCACACTCTGGTATGTTATTTTCCATTTGTGGTTTTTATTGCTTTGCTTTTATTTTATTATTAAACATAGGTACTGATAGTAATATAAGTATTAAGTATATTGGTTTTTAGTTACTTAGCATCTGGCAATAGCATTGTCAGTTTGTCGAACTACTGGAAAATAGGCAAATCTACTGCATATGGGGTGATTAAAGAAACATGTGAGGCTATATGGAAGCGATTGAAGAGTAGTCATTTAGCACCACCTTCTACACAAGAATGGAAACTCATAGCAGATGGGTACTGGTCAAGATGGAATTTACCAAATTGTTGTGGGGCTTTAGATGGAAAACATATCAGGTTACAATGTCCATCAAAAAGTGGCTCCCAATTCTTCAATTATAAGCAATTTTTTAGTTTCGTGTTAATGGCACTGTGTGACAGCAAATATTGTTTTACATGGGTAGAAGTAGGAGATTATGGTACGTTGTAATATAATAGAATAATGACTTCATTTTGTTCATTCCATTATTATTTATTAATAACTCCAATACTTGGCCAGGATCTCTTCCAGACAGCAGTATTTTTACTTCCTCTGCATTGGGTAAAGCCATGGAAGAAGGATCTCTGAATTTTCCAGATCCGAAACAACTGCCTGGTACTAATGTATTGGTTCCCTATTATTTTGTCGGCGATGAAGCATTCCCATTACGTACCGACTTAATGAGACCATATCCAAGAAGGAATCTCACAAGCGAGGCAAATAGAATTTTTAATTACAGGCTTTCTCGTGCAAGACTTACAATTGAGAATGCTTTCGGAATTTTGGCATCAAGGTATTTCCTTTTAAACATTATTATAGTGACAATGAACTTCTATATAAAGATGAGCAAGTTAAACATTTATTTTTCATTCTAATTCTAATAGGTGGCGAGTTTTGCGTACCGCTTTGGCTCATCAACCTAGCAATGTAGAAAGTATTATTCTTGCCACGGTATGTCTCCATAATTTTATCATAAATAGGGAAGAACACTTGCAGGGGTTCAAACAGTACTGCCCACCTTCATATGTGGATCATGAAGATGTCAGTGGTAATATTATACCTGGTGAATGGCGGAGAGATCCTTTTGGCCCTGAAGAGGACC